CTTCTCCTTCCCCCTCCTTCTCCTCCTTCCTTCTCCTTCTTCTGTTTTCTGCAAATTCAGGGGATTCGGGGGTAGCTCTTTCGAGCTACCAAGCATGACCCGTAACAAAAGTCATTATTTCTAACCTATTTTAACGTCATCATCTCATGGTGCTTCACTTACCTCCAATTAGGAAACTTACCTCCAATTAGGAAAATGTTATGAATCTCAAATGATTTATTAAATTTTTTATCAAACTTTTTATATAGATGTGAGATTCACATAAATTCACATATGTATTAGTCTCATACCCATATAAGAGATTTTATAAAAAATTTAATAAATCATTTAATATTTCTAGCATAATCCCTCCAATTATCCTTTGAAACATTCATCATGGTGCAAAATTGCCACCTAGCAACACCGACGGTGCCACTACATTATTTATTATTATTATTATTTTATAAAAAAAATTATAAGAAAAATTGCATTTTAGTTCGATAGTAAAAAAATAATTTAATTTTTATAGTAGTACACGTCTCATATGTGTATAATGTAAATCTTTTTTGTATTTGGTGTTAGTCTTTTCAGTTGGTCAAACTTGTACAAAAATAATAATTTTAAAAAATACATCTTAAGGTAATTATATTAAAACTCTCGCTTATTTGTAATTTTTTAGGGATATTTATTCATAAATCTTCTTCACCTACTTATCTTTCACTTGATTCAAATTATTTTCTTATATTTCAATAAGTTTTATGGGTAATTTTATTTTCACACACCAAAACATCTCATTCCACATCCTCTCTCAATACACATACCAACTAATTTTGAATTTTGTGATTTCACTCAATGCACAACCTTTTTTTGTCAAAATTATCCCTCTCTTTGACATTGAAACCCTAAACCAACACCCATTTGTAAGTGTTGTTTCTTCTTCCCTGCTTTGGTCTTGAAAAGAATTTTCATTAGGTATAACATTGCAGAAACTCTGTTATAACTCTGTTATACAAGGCCAAGAAGTTCATTGTAGAAACTAGGGTTTGAATCGGACACTTAGGATTTGATTACGAGGAAGCCAGTGGCCGAAGAAGAGATTGATCTTGTGGGAAGAGTAACAGTATGAAAGGTTGTGATTGGTGATTAGCGTTGGGAGTTTGAGTTCGGAAATCAAGAAATTGAAGCTCCGATTCTTGAAGATCGGAGGTGAAGATTTGGAAGTTTGACGATGATGTTGATTGAAGAATGCAAGAAGTGATTGCTCAGGTGTGGAATAGAGTAGTAACATAGTATAGATGATGAGAACAATAGAAGGCATAATATATATGATATAGGGAGAGAGATGTATGAGTTAGGAGATGGAGATTAGTGTGGCTGTCACAGATTCTGATCTTCGAACGATGAGAGGAGATGAAGAAATTAGGGTTTTGGTGAATAAGAAAAGGGCACTTTAGTAATTTTATTTTAAGACAAAATTGTAATAAAAAAATAAATTATTAAGTGTGTGCACAGCGGTAGGTAAGTGTGTGGAAATAGAATTTCCCAAGTTTTATGGGTGACATCATTATCAAAATACTCCATAATAATATTTATATTAATAGTATGAATCTTCCATGATATGAACATTCACAATATCAAATATGAATGTTCACAATACCAAATTGATGTCAAATATTTATAAAAGTAAAATTGTTTATAAAATATCTTAAATATTAAAATTATGATTTAATGGATCAAATATCCACATTATAGAACTTATTGGAATATAAGAATATATTATGACCTATCATAGCACTACAAGAATTACCACTTTTGGCAATAAAAAAATTGGTCGCTAAAAGTCAATTTTTGGTCGGCAAAAGTTATCCGCGACCAATTTTTTTGGTCGCTACTTTGGTCGCCAATTGAGGGTCGGCAAAAGCAATTCGCGACCAAAATTGTGATTGGTCGGCAAAAGTTGGATTTCGCGACTAAATTTTTGGTCGCTAAATATTTAATTACTGCGACTAATTTATTTTGTCGCCAAAACACTTTGGTCCCGAAAAGTGATATTTTCCCGACCATGCAAGTTTGGTCGCCAATTATCACATTCAACGACCAAAAAGTTTGGTCGCCAATTGTGACATTCCGCAACCAAAAATTTTGGTCGCCAATCATGACATTCCGCGACCAAAAAATTTTGGTCGCCAATTGTGACATTCCGCGACGAAAAAGTTTGGTCGTCAATTGTGACATTCCACGACTAAAAAAGGTTTTGGTTGCCATTTGTTACTTTTCGCGACCAAAACTTTTGGTCGGCAAAAGTGAGTTTCCACGACCAAGAGCTGTTTTGGTCGGCAATAGATGTATTTTTCGCGACCAAAACTCTTGGTCGACAATTGTCATTTTTTGCGAAAAAAATAATTTATTTGTTGCGACTAATAAATTGGTCGCCAAAGCAGGAAAACAATACACTTGTAGTTCCTAATAATTCATTCAATCCATAATAAACCTATAATTTTAAAGCATCATTCAAATTAACTGAATCATTAACATTCGACACAATACATAATTCATTAACATTCGACACAATACAACTATTCTAAGTTTTCGTTCACAAGTCACATCCATCTAGCATAACAAATTGAAACAATACATAATTCAGATTTACAGCATCAGGGAACTTGGGGTGCGTATTGTCTGGAAGATCCGGTCTCATGCCCTGGCAAATAAAATATAAATAAAGTTAAAAGGTGTGGGTGATTACTTCAATCCGTGTAGACAAAATTGCAACCAGGGAATTCATAAAAAGCTCGTACTGGAGTTGAAATTTCTTTTTTATTTGTTTTATTATTATTTTTATCCACAGAAGACCTTTTTTATTCACAATTTCAAAAAATTTCACATTTTCATTTTATCATTTTTCGATAATATTTTGTGTTAGTTTTTTCCTTTTTGCCTGAATTACAGTATTGAATCTAAGACGCTTATTAATTAAGTCTAATAAAAAGTTGATATAAGACTGTTTAAAGGGTGCATTGCACTCATATCTAGTTGTCTTCTAAACACGTAATATTATGTTCCGGAACCCTACAAATCTGTAGTTGAAGTTGTCCCTCCAAGTAATTTTACGAACTTTGTATATATGCCCAGTTTTTAACCTAATGGATGGTTGCAAACCAAGATAGTACATTGAGCATCAACTCTCACTTCAAAACAAGTAGCATCCAAAGATTATCCAAGACAACTATTCTATTTGAATGATGTCATCACAGATAAGATAACGACATAATTTTTTATTTTTCTTCATTCATTTTTACTTCCAGTTAATAAAACTACGTCTGAAACTAGATGTTTAATCTCATCTCTTGGGCGTTCCCTTCTGAAGCTCCTAATTCTTCTGTTTAAGCATCAGGATGTCACAGAAAATACTCTGAAAATCCATAATATCTTGATGCATGACTTGGTTTGGTTGCCTCATTTTTAAAATTAATATGTAAATGTATTGAACGTCACACCAATGAATCAGTAATAGCTTAATGAGATCGAATATGTTTCCCATCAACCAAGGAGTTCTAGTGTTTGGCTAGCTCTTTGGCCACCAAGTCTCTCTTAAAGGGAGGTCTTGGGTTCTAATAGGGCGCAACAATTAAGTACTTGCAAGGAGAGGGTGAGAGTTCGACTCCCCAAGATACTAATGTAACAACTAACTACTAACTTTCGTTAATCAAAATATATATATATATATATATGTTTCCCATCATGAGTTAAACTAAGGAACAAAATGTGGTCATTAGTTAACGCAACACAGAAATGTGGCACCAGATGAAGTGCCATAACATGACATTCTCAATCCTACCAACTTAACTGTGTGTATATGTCAAGCAATGTAAACACTAAAGTCTTGTTTTCATTTGCTACAGTTCATTGGAACTTCGAAGTGTTTTTAAGAGTTTCAAAACTTCGTGTCCCACGTTGATTGGAAAAATAAGTCACATCGAACACATCGAACATATATGTTTTTGTTCTTCTTGGCATACTTGATTAGTCATGAGTCGTGCCAAATAGTGGTATTTACTTGATTAGTAGTGACTACCTATGTTTCATGTCTGTTTTCACTGTTTTAGATCTACTCTTCTTTGCCGTGGTCGGCCGTAAGTTCTATTTCCAAATTCCAGTTCCACTATTCTAAGGCCTTGTTTGGGAACAAGCTAAATTAGTCAAAAAGTCAACTCATTCTCTCTACTTTTCTACACATCTTTTCATACCAAGTCAAAAAAATACTAAAAAAGCCAATTCCCAAATGAACCCTAATTTTATTCCATTCTATTTCAATCAGCTCAGCTCTTTTTATAGGGCTTTATATCACAACAGTTTTGACATACAAATATGTTACAAATTTTTATATTAATTCAGATTTTATTCTCATCTGTTTAAAAGTTTTTCCTATATATAGAGTATTTCTGCTACAGAAGTACAAAGCAGTACACTGATATTCCAATACACTCATATTTTGAAAGAGATCACAGATTCATCTCAAGAGAATTTGCCTACTAGTCTGTGTTTTCTAGACAACTCGATTTGGACGGTTGTTTTTCCTCCTGGTGGACGCGAACACCAAATGAGTGGCTGTTAGCTTCTGGGAACAGTGACTTTAGGACAGTAATTTCGTGCCTCAGAGATTCACAAGCCACATCTTTCTGTTCAAATTTCTATTATATTTTCTGCTTTGATTCACTGAATCTGTATTATTGCATGATATATATGATTGTTTAGTTCTATTACTAAGTCTATAAACTGTTGTGTACTGTTTATAAGTTCTGTTTATTTTGTGATGTATGTTTAGTTTGTAATGTAAAATTATTGCTTTTAACTACAATGTAATCTCGCAGGGACGATGATAAAAGTATAGAACTTTTAAAACACTCGAAAATATTCATTTATAACTTCATGAAGACTAAAATTGGAAGTACTGATGCTGTAATTTAAAGATAATATGCTGAAGTTTGTAAAAGAAAATATGGTAAATTATATATTTTATCTTATGATATAACTTGATATACAAACAACCAAAACTGTCTCACTCCCAGGGCAGCTTGTAAAGGAGTCATCGTATCATATGGAACCTGCATCACAAAAAATAATCATCATCTCACAAGATTTTTTATCTTCACAATTGAGAAGTTAAATACTCAAAAGTGGTATTTCAGGCTTGGTGCTAATTGAGGAAATACCTTAGCGGTGACAAGCTCCCACAGAACAATAGCAAAACTGAATATGTCCGCTTTCTGATCGTATGGTTGATGATTAATAACCTTTTGATGGAGAAACAAAGTAAGAAATGATATCAAAGTAAGAATTGAATAACTAGGAAATCAACATCAAATAATGGTTAACGTCACGCAATTCTATGACACAGGTCCAGAACCTAGTGTCAAACAAAGTGCACTTCATTAGTTTTCTCAAAAAATTCAACCCAGCATTGCATGCATCAACATTGTTAGATACAGAAGATTTAAAATGATACTACAGATTGAGGTAAGTTAACTGATGTGCATAATTCATGGAAATAAAAGAATTGCAATGTCAATACACTATGAAGCACAGACATGGACACGGTGATTTCGAAAAAATAGGAACAGGGACACGGCAAATTATTATTTTTTATATATATTTGCTATATAGATTAATATTATGTTACCAAACAATCAAAATTAATAAAAACTAACATTAATTCAATATATATATATATATATATAAACCACTACATTTAAACAAATTAATAGATCATCCATATTTGGAGATGCGTGTTCCCTGCAAAAAAAAAAAAATCAATTAATTAAATGGCATGTCCCTGCCGTGTCCCCGTCTCCCTTGACGTATCTAGATTTAGACAAGTGTCCTCGGCGTATCTCCTACATGTCCCCGTGTCAGACACTGCTATGGCCCCTATTTTAAAGTGTTTGTGCTTCATAGACAATCACACTAAAAAGTGAGCCAAGATTCAAAAACAATCAGGAAAGTATGGTTGAACATGCCCTAAAAACCGTAACATAAAAAAATTTAATTGGACCATGCAGCTCCATCAATGCACGAACAGTTTAAAGCTTTCCTGAGTTATCTATTGACTAAGTTAGCCCCCTTACCCAGTTGCTTGCAATAGATCCTTGTATTCTCCAATCATTGGTCGACATTGATAATTTGCAACAACGCTAAATGGGGAATAATTATGAGAATGGGTGATGGCAGTGTTTTAGAACCTGGACTGGACCAGGCAGTATGTAGTAAAATTGGGAGCGGGTCAAATGGTCCAGGCAATTTCATAAAAATCATTCTATTTTGAGACTTGGATTGATGGTTTAATCGTTGATTAGTGTAAACTGTTCGTGCATTGATGGAGCTGCATGGTCCAATTAAATTTTTATGAATCCTGCTATACCTGTTAGACATAATAACTGTTTATGTAATGAACAGTAATAGTTTTCACGAACCCATTGTTCTGATTTAAAGGTAAATCATCTTTCAACATACAGCAAAACAGCTGGAACAATTAAACATCTGAAAATTTATATACTTGGTATTTAGGAGATAACAACGGAAAATTAATCATGATGTTGGAAAATACTTACTTTGTCATTATCCATAAGCAAATTTGCTGTCTTAAGATCCCTGTGAATTATGTTGTTTTGATGCAAGTACTCCATTCCACTGCAGACATCAATTGCAAACTGAAGCAATTGAGGGAGATTCAAGACAATGTGATTCTTGTGTATATATTCATAAAGGCTTCCTCCAGGCATGTACTCTGCAAGCAAGACGAGAAGACAAATTCCCTTTCAGTGGGAGAGAAGAATCATTGCACAAAAATAGATAAACAAACATTTCAGGAAAATATGTACGTAAACTATTTCCAGCAGTTAAAAACTGTGAGAAGCTGTCGACTTCAATGAAACTTGTAATGATACATAAGACAAAACAGTATCAACACATCAAATTAGAATGCAGCAGCTGAGAGGGGCAAGTGAATTAACATTACAAATAGTAAGCAACTTATAAGATTCCTGTGCATTGCATTAAGTTGGTAAACTATATAGTGCAATGCAGCACATCCTGCCACTGTCTCCATCCACTCAATTAAGCACAGGATGAAGAGACAAGTTTGGCTCAAAAGAAAACAAAATGATCAGGTTCCAAAATCAGTTATTGGAAAATATTTGGATTTTAGATATTTTGATTAAAATTATGAGAAGTAAAATGAATCAATAAATATTGAAATGAAAACCCTGGGAGGGCATCTAGTCTGGCTTTGGAGGCAGATTGAAGGTAGAGATTAACATAGTCAAGAAAAGACTTTATTGGAATACGTTGCCCATTAAGCTCAACCTTCACAGTCTTTCCAAGGCATCCCGCCAAGTCAATCACCCGCTTTTTCATCAGGGCAACAACATCATCTTCAAGATGAGTCATATTGAATTTTGCTAAGTCAGGCTTAAATGTAACTTTTGTCCAGTTTTCGCTCTCCTTGCATTTTGTTATGACGGGCTCAGATTTCTTTCCCATATTGTTGGAGAAAACCTTCATAGGAGTGGAAGGAACTTGCCAGTTAGCAAAGCACATGAATCATAATAAGGCTTGCCAGTTAGCAAAGCACATGAATCATAATAAGGCTTGCCAGTTAGCAAAGCACATGAATCATAATAAGGCTTGCCAGTTAGCAAAGCACATGAATCATAATAAGGCTTGCCAGTTAGCAAAGCACATGAATCATAATAAGGCTTGCCAGTTAGCAAAGCACATGAATCATAATAAGGCTTGCCAGTTAGCAAAGCACATGAATCATAATAAGGCTTGCCAGTTAGCAAAGCACATGAATCATAATAAGGCTTGCCAGTTAGCAAAGCACATGAATCATAATAAGGCTTGCCAGTTAGCAAAGCACATGAATCATAATAAGGCTTGCCAGTTAGCAAAGCACATGAATCATAATAAGGCTTGCCAGTTAGCAAAGCACATGAATCATAATAAGGCTTGCCAGTTAGCAAAGCACATGAATCATAATAAGGCTTGCCAGTTAGCAAAGCACATGAATCATAATAAGGCTTGCCAGTTAGCAAAGCACATGAATCATAATAAGGCTTGCCAGTTAGCAAAGCACATGAATCATAATAAGGCTTGCCAGTTAGCAAAGCACATGAATCATAATAAGGCTTGCCAGTTAGCAAAGCACATGAATCATAATAAGGCTTGCCAGTTAGCAAAGCACATGAATCATAATAAGGCTTGCCAGTTAGCAAAGCACATGAATCATAATAAGGCTTGCCAGTTAGCAAAGCACATGAATCATAATAAGGCTTGCCAGTTAGCAAAGCACATGAATCATAATAAGGCTTGCCAGTTAGCAAAGCACATGAATCATAATAAGGCTTGCCAGTTAGCAAAGCACATGAATCATAATAAGGCTTGCCAGTTAGCAAAGCACATGAATCATAATAAGGCTTGCCAGTTAGCAAAGCACATGAATCAAAATCACAACTTTTTCCCTATGCCAAAGCAAAACTTAACCATGCCAAATAAGCATGTAACTTTCTTTGCCCTAAGATTTTGCTTGCTTCCTACTTACTTGCCTCATCCTCTACTTTGTGGCAGTTGCTGCCCTCATCATAAACCTGGCAGCTTGTGTCTCGTACTCCACATCTTGGTCAAAAGTGAAAACTCAACTGGATGGTGACTTTGATGCTTAACATTATTCTCCTCATCTGGGCTCATAAATGGAATCCTACCTGGGAGTGAGATGGTGAATTCAGATATCAATTTGATTTTGCTTGGCCCTTGGGAATATACTTATTTTCTTACTCCATTGTTCTGTTCCTAACATCACTGACAGATAAATCATGATATGTCCGATGTGAGTAAGTTACTACATATGTAAATTTGTAGATATAGATATATACATCTTGATGTATGCTAGTAAATGTGTAACCAACAAGAAAAGATGTCTGTTGGAGTCTACTATCTTCAAACTTAATCTGTCAAATTCCTATTACAAATATTTTAAGCAATTATAGAAATGCACAAAACAAAGACTAAAACAAGAAATTGCAATTTTATCTATGCTTCTATTTCCTCCATTCTTGACTGGAGTCATTTTCCACCGTAGATTCATGGAACAGAAATTGAGATGAATAGAGATGGCCATTAAACATCTTGAAGCAAAAGTAAGGGAAGCATAGGATAAGTCATATACCTGTGAAGGCTGTGACTGAGGAACTGAATGTGGAAAATGAAATGCATCGATCTTCATAAGACAGTTTTGTACTCAAGAATTGGCACCACCAGTGGAATTGAATGTTGGCCACCAATCATTGATCACCTTAACACTGATGATCAAAATCTCACTCTCTCTACTTCTGCAAAAATTTCTTTAAATCTCTGCTGCTAGCATTCTTCTATATCAAGCCCTAAATTCTAAAATCTCATGAATTAGTTTGGCCAACCATTTTCAGAAGCATCATCAAATTTCAATATCAGAATCGTAACAAGTACTTTTTCTTTGTGACAATGGGCATTTAGAAACATCCAAAACAAAAGGTGGTGTATGCATGATTCCAATTGTTTTATTTGCTTTGTTGCATTTGGTTTAGGCAGGGTATGGATTTGTAAAATGTGTTTTGCCTGCAAACTAGTAAATCCATGTTGACATTATAAGTTTGCAGCTTCCTAACATCGGAAAAGGATCAACAATTTTCTTACCTTCATGCATTTGCTGATAGGAGAGTACAACTAATTGATGCATGATCTTGCCTAAACCACTATATCCACCAGTGAACATCGGTAACTGTCTTCTAGTTGCAGCTTTCCATTGCTGAACCAAATCTCATTGATTCATAGGAGTTGTGGGCAATCACTATTCATTTCAAACTCAGACAAATTTGCATGAACTCCTTACATGTAAGTTGGCTCAGATTCTACTATTAGAAATGCATTGGAATGCTTGCAACCCTTGTCATTTGAACTGAATTCCCATCAATCCAAGCATACCTGTATGCTAAATTCTTTCACCTCAGTGCAGAAGCAACCCAGGAAAGACCCTGACATACCAGCCGTATAACTTCTTTTTGGTTCTTGGATTCACTTTGAAGCTGTCTCTCCATCGTCTGCCCTGCCAAACATGGGTAGTACATAGATTCTTTCGTCACTGGCTCTGTTAACTTGGTTTTTGATTTGCAGGTTAGAGGTTACTTCATTCATCTTGTTAGTACATAACTACAGAACTCGTCCGGTGTCTGCAAATCCAAGGTGCTCAAGAGTTTTGGCAATTGGTAATGCAAGTGTTTGGTAATTGAGGAGTTTTAGTTCCTGAAATTACTAATGTATCTTAGTGACATTTTCGATTTGGTTTCGCAAAGGGTAGAGGAAAGAAGGCTTGTAAAAAGTTTAGTGCTATTCAATGGGGGGAAATTTGTTATACTATGTTGCAAAACCTCAAAAAGATTTTCTTCCACCAAAAAAGAGACTTTTAAAAAAAGAGAGAGAGAGGGAGAGAGGTATCGGAGAGCTCCCATGGGGGTTCGAAGCAGAGAGAGAAAGAGAAGACAGCGGCGTCAATGTAGAATTTGAGAAAGCTGATGATGATGACGGTGGCTGTGGTGGTGGAAACCCTAGCCTTCGGTGACCCAATCGAAGCACAGTGTCGCGATTCACAATCGGAAACCCTACCTTGCGAGTGGGAGGATTGCGACTTGAAGACACTGAGAGAGAATGGGGGAGAGGCAGAAATCGAGGCCAGCGTCGGGAGCGAGCGCAAGAGGAAGGGTAGGAAAGAAGAACAGAGAGGGAATGGGAGGAGACGAGTTAAACCAAATTACCCCAATCTGGGTTCGATTGATGCATCAACAGTGTGTGAAGTAGAAAATTACCCCAATCTGGAATTTTTTTTTTTGAAATTCAATTCCCGCCTCACGTTTCAAATTTCCCCCCAAACTTTTGGCGACCAAACTCTCAAATTAGTCGCAAAAATAGGTTCTTTTGTCGACAAATTTTTTTAGTCGCCAAATCTCAATCAACGGCGACTAAAATATTAGTCGCTAAAAGTACTAATTTGGCGACTAATTTTTTTTGATTGCTGAAAATAAGTTTTTCGCGACCAAATTTTTGGTCGCCAAAAAATATGTGACCTTCCGCGACCAAATTTGTAGTTGGTCGGCAAAAGTATACCACTTTCTGCAACCAACATATTTTTTGGTCGCCAAAATATAACCTTCTGCGACCAATAAAATTTGGTCGCCAAAATTAATGATCATTCGCGCCTAATTAATATTTGGTCGCCAAACGTCATTTTTTTGCAACCAAAATTTTTTTAGTCGGTAAAAGTGGTCGCAAAATGTGTAAATTCTTGTAGTGTAGTCTCAAGGTATTATGAATCTCCTTCTTCATTTTACAAATAAATATAATATTTGTGAACCGCACATCCATCCTAATCCAATCACATTCCGTATAACCCAAAACATATAAGTACTTAAAAAACAAATCCTAATAAAACCCCCAATTTTTTATTTTAAAAAAAATGATCTTGGATTGTTCACAAGATTCTACGCTAGCCTTAATTCTATCCCCTAGTCATGAGTAGTAAGTCATTAAGAGTAATTGATGTTAAACTATTCTTAATTTTCTCAACTTGTGATAACTCATAAGTCATTAATAATAATTAATAAACTTTCCCCCACTTGTTTGAACCCAAAAAAAAACCAAAAAAAAAAACAAATTATGGTTGCTAGAATGTAACCATCAGATGGGCTTTCACCAGTTGTGTGGTATTTTTGCAGTTTTTATTGTTAAAAAAAGACTAGGAATATCACATATTCAACCCCCACCCAAACCAGAATGAGAACATGACTGGCCAATAACTACTTGTTACCAAAAGGCAATAATAAACTGAATGGAGTATACACTATATAGGCTTTTTTATAGTTTAATTAATTGAGAGCATAACATAGCTTGACTCAATAGTCATGTGTAATTATTTAATGAAACAACAATACTAGAGGGCCACAATTTTGGTAGTCACAATAGCTCAAAACTGCCAAAACGACGTCGTTTTGACGTATTTTGCACCCAAAACGACGTCGTTTTGGCAGTTTTGAGCCATTGTGACTACAAAAATTGTGGCCCTCAAACATTTTCCTTAATGAAAATATATATTAAATTGTGGATCTGTCATTTTAAAACTTACAATTCATGCCCATCGCTAGAGATTTCAATATGTTGTCAAAAGAGATTTCAATATTCTACAAACTGATATCAAAGTTGTTGTACATACTATAATTCTGATTGATAAATTTATCACTATAAATTTATTCATAAAAATAAGAGAGACAGATAAATTTATCAATGAATAATACTATATGTACCAATTAGTATACTAATTAGTGTTTTAACGGATGATGTGACATAATTTTAAAAGTTTTGAATTTTTATAATTTGTATAACGGGTGAGGTCATAGTGTTGGAGTGGTAATGTCATAGCATATGCTAGTATTTATAGGACTTAATGAGTTATAAATCTCAAAAGTGGGACCTATTGA